CAGACGACCGACGCTCGCGCCTCCTTCTCTCAGCTTGTATCGCAAACGCGGCCCATAAATAGAGTTCTGTGTTTTCGGTACCGTGAAAACCCCGCAAACTGACCCCCGAAGCGGTTTGATAAAAATCAGGGGAAAATCCGGAAAACCCGCAATTGGAGATGTCCTTGAATAAGAGAAACCCGAATTTCAAGGGAAGAAATCTTTCGGTTTTGTCTTTGCTCAGAATGCAGCACGCACTCAACTGTGTTTGTCCTCCCTTTCTGTGTTTGTGTTTGTCCGTCCTTTCTCGTTTTCTTCCTCAAGTTTAATTAAAGGCTCCTTGTTTCTTCGGGGACGAAACCCACGCTTCCTCCTCTTATCCCAACGGGAATAAGAGGAGGAAGGTATTTGGGACACGCGCATGTTCCCCAGAGGCTAGGAAATCCGACTCCCATGCCCTCTCTTAAAGGGATACTACAACGAAATTTCGGCGCTCATTTTTTGGTCTATATGTGTTCAGAAGAGCAGTATCACATGGAACATACCAATATCTTGTTAAAAAAGTCTCGAAAAGGAATTTTAAAACGAATTAAATGATTAGCAAAGAGCACCTGGTGGATGTCGCTAACGCCTCGTTTGTAATGCTCGTCTAGGAACCTTGACAGCTATTAGCCCCGAGAGCGAACACAAGCGTCGCTGCGGTCGCCGCGCCCTGATTGGGTGAGGTGTACCGTGACGTCAGGGGGAGTACTCCGCTCCGCGACCTCGCATCGGCTCGCTTCCCAGCACCGGTTTGCCGGTTTGGCGTTGTGACCCGGAAGCTCTTCGAGGAGCTAGACTTCGTGTACCCGGTGTACAAGACGTTGAGTTGGGCCGATATTGAGGTGCTTCCGTACATTTTATAAGCCTGCTTGCCCTTTTTATCTTTAAAATTGGGTTACAAATCCCGAAAGCTATCGGAGGAGGCAATTCCGCCGATGAACCTCCCCGTCCGTCCACACGACACAAGGCAATCTTGCGAAGGGTCGGTGAAGCGGTGGCGCAAGTGTTTCAGACGCTGGAATTCTATTTCCTTGCATGTTGATGATTTTGGACGATATTACATCCCGCTTTCAAGGCATTCGATGTGGCATTTATATCATGGGCCTTCGAGTGGTCGGCAAACTAGCTCGCGACTCCAACTCTGCGCTGCCACTCTGCATGCGCTGGTTCGCAGATGTTTTATAGACCCTGCATCTGATGATCTTTGAAGTGCTCGTGGAACAGGGCTGTTTTACGTAAATGTAGCTTCTTCGTAAATTAATTATATAGTTTATACACGTATGCAGGCATAGTTCTTAGAAGATGCAACATTACTGAAAATTAGTTTTTTATGGTAGCAGCAAAAACGGCCGAATTTCCCCCAGTTGCCTGTATGATATGTATTGAACTGCCCAAAATATGCATAGCAATGGTGCCGTAATTTGGAATGTTTATACTTTTTCCTGACACTCTTTATTCCAGCCTTGGGTTTTAAAAAAATACACCGTTTAGTCTGAATTGTCGTTTCCAATTAAAAGAGACACTGCTGCAGGTCTTTAAAAGCTTCCTCAGCCTCCGAACTCCCTACAGCCGGACTCTCTGACAACAGAGGAAAACAGGAGTAAAAGCGAGCATTCGAACGTCTGGCCAGCGGTAGATGCAGCACTAGTAGCAGAAAATGTGGAACCTCTGAAGGGCGACAGTCGGCGTGAGAAAAGTTTCTGATATATTAGCTCCAGGGCAGTTCTATTTAAGTAAAGTCTCAATTTTAGGGCTTAAGGGACTAATAACGAGCTAGACATCTTCGCTTACGTTTGTTATACATTTCTTGAGGATTGATATAAACAAGTCCACAAATACCACCCGTGTAGTCCTTTGAAATACTATCCGAATCCAGCAAAGGTCAAATGCGAGCAATGTATATAATAAAATGCTCCTTGTTTTTTTACTTTGCTCCTGCACTTGGGCTGTCTTACTTGTGATTCTCTCCCCATGGCCCAGACTGTATTTAGCATGTCACTCGAGGAGCATGCAGCTTTTATGCTTTGGCGATCTAGTTTAAAAGCAGAGATACAAAAAAATAGTATACATAACCTGCCAATTCATTCAGACCATCAACAGCATTTATTGTGCGAGATGGAAATCTATAATGATGCTCCTGCAATTGTGGCCATATTTCTTTATTTTCATATACCAGCTGCGATTCATGCGTTGCCTGCCCTGTCAAGCATGCTTAAAATGTTGGTTGAAGTTTCGCCTGTAGCTAGAGGCCATACCTCAATAAAGGCACATATAAAAATTTACACATCCTACAAAAAACACGCCAAAAGAATGAAATAGAAACGAGCGCGCCGACAGCTAGCGTCGTCACAGCCTCCACAGGCCGAGCGGGGCGAGTCGGGGAAAAATTCTCTCCTCGCCGTGACGTCACCCCGGTTCGCCGTAAGGGGGCGCCACGCGAACTTCTCGGGGCTGCGCGGCCGATGTTATGAGCCGAAGGGCCAATCAAAGAGCGCAAAAAGCGCAGCGTCATGGCGTGCCCCCTGCGCTTGATAGGACTAGCCGGCGGAGGAGCGCGCACAGAGAGATTGCGAATACCGGGTGGTCCTATCAACTGCAGAGAGCACGCCATGACGTTGTGCCTCTTTCGCTGTTTGATTGGCCCTTCGGCTCATAACATCGGCCGCGCTCGGACCGAAGCTGAAACGAAGTATAGTGACGGAGGTTGTCTCGTCTCTGGCCACGACGAGAGAAGGGGGGAAGGAGGAACTCCCCTCTTCCCGAGAATCCCTTTTGTGTGTCGCAGAAGTCGCTATTGTCCCCCTAGAAGATTATAGCAGATTAAGCCGTCACTCAAAATTCGTACAAAAGCAGCCGCTTCGGTGGCTGGAAGAACTAGGCCATCCTCTCGACGACAGCCTCGCCGTAGCTTTGCTCGTCTTGAGACAACCTACGCCACGATTGCGTTGGATGTCACGTGCTCTAAGCTGGGCCTTCTCCGAGCGCTTGCCAGAGTGGGCCGTTTATAACGAAACATACAGCCACCAGGATCAAAATACAAACGTGCGATTGTCATTTACGGATATTGTGGATCATATTCAACTTATTTTTGAACGCGACGGGAATATTTCAAATTTCGTTGAAGTATCCCTTTAAAGAAATATTTATCCACTTTTCATATAATTTCTCCAAAAAATAGTTTATAGAGGCTATATATATTCAAAAGAAAAAGTATCCACTATTTATCTAACCAATATCTATAGATTTCTGGGCGCTTTTTTCTGTGGACTTTCTAGAGAACTTAGTCTATGAAGACTGTATAGAAATTGTACAGAAAACAGAGAGAAATTCTTACAACGTTCTTATCTCCTTTCGATAAACACTTTGACTGTTCTTCGCGAGAGAAAAAAAATCCTAAACATTAATTTTAGGTTTGTCCCACTGCGTACATGGAAAGATACACTCGCCACTTGCCATGCGCACATACCAAGATCACAAATACACACGCCACGGAGTACTCATAACACTAGTAATTCAGTAGCATTGACTTCTTTACCGCTATACACTTTTGCAAGTACCACCCCAGGGCGCCGCCATCTTGATCAGTTGGGGCGCGCTTGGGCGCGTCATAGTCCGATTACGACGCGGCGTCTTAATAGGTTTAATCGGATTATAGCGCGCACAAGCGCACCCCAACTTAGCAAGATGGCGGTGCTTTGAGGCTGCAAACGCGTATACACGCCCTACATTTGAAAGGCAAACATTTGAACGAGGACCACTCCGGAGGATAAAAAGATTACAACTATGTTGCACTTCTTTCTACCAGTTATATAATAATTTAATTACTAATTTAAACAAAATGTGGTTTCTAAGTGTTGGTGAACTGTATGTCCAGCTATAAAGCGTCACAAGAAGCGGTGATTATTGAACAGAGTCGAAAAAAAACAGCCTCGGCAAGGAGGTTCCAAATGGCTGCAATGTCGTTTCTCCGCACGGCATCTTATTATTATATCGAGTCTACTACACATAAATTGTATAAACATATGGTGACAAAAAGTGTATCTAAACACGGCAACAAAAGTTCTATAGAATAAAATAAATAAATAAGTTCTATAGCATTATATAGCATTTCTTAAAAGTCTATAGAAAATCAATCGAAAATTGTCGACACAACGTGAGTAGATAGGAAGTTGAAAGGGTCGTTAAAATATCGATATAATTTCTATAAACTGCCTGAAACTTTTTTTTTTTTTTTGCAGGGGCTGTTTTCCTTATAATTACCGATAAACGCCGGCGTTATTATCAGACTCCAAAAATATAGGTAAAAAAAAACACTGAATCTTTGAGCAACATAAACCCCGAAAAAGCACCGCCGAATTTAAGGAAAAATAAACTCCGAAAACACGAAACCCTACCCCAATAACCCCGTGACTCCGATCGAGCAGTTGGGAACACTTTAAAATCTAGGCACTCAAAGCCGCAGTCGCACTGCTCACACATTCTGCAAAAGACACGGAGTTTCTCCGCAGACACGATGAGAGCATTAGGGAGTTTTAGTAGACCGTGTTTCCCCCTCCGCTAGCCCTCCGCTACGAAGAAACCGCTACTGCGCCTGCGTGCCGATGGCCTGGGCTGTAGAGTTCAGGGTAGCGGAGGGGCTTAGCGGAAGGGGAAACACGGTCTGCTAAAACTCGCTATTATCTGCGAACATGCCTCAAGCGTATATGTTGCAGGAGTGTTCGCCTCATATATCATATGCGCACTTCGAACATTTCTGCGGATACTTTTTGTACAACCAACGCGTCATACTAGTTGTAGTAGATCGTTTTTCTCCTCCGCTACAGTATCCGTAAAGAAAATGCCGCAGCTGCGCATGCGCGCCGCAAGCCTTGTCTGCATAGTTCAAGGTCTCGTGGCGGATTACGGAGCGCTAAGCGGTAGCTTAGCGTGCTGCGGAAACGGTCTCCTAAAACTCCCGACTGTTTTCTTTTTTCCCGCAGGCGTGCAGGAGACGGCGGCCAAGCTGCTCTTCTGCAGCCTGCGCTGGATCCGCAGCGTGCCGGCCTTCGTGCAGCTCTGCTGCCGCGACCAGCTGCTCCTGCTCGAGGCCTCGTGGAGCGGGGTGTTCCTGCTCAGCGCCGCCCAGTGGGGGTTCCCCCTCGCCGGTGCAGCCACCGCTGCCGGCTCCGGTGAGCTCTTTTCACCTCCCTTAAATGGAACAGCCTGATATAAACCTCAAACTCGGACGAAGATTTTTTTATTAATTTTTTTAGCATGGCATTTGTGTGGTTCTGATAGAGGCAATTGCTCTAGAGTCTAGACAAGGCAGCGCTACGGCCTTGCCTTTGCGGAGCGGAAGTTCGTCTGCTTCTTGAGCAGGGGCTGCGATGATGTCACAACGCCGAGCTCTTATTGGCTGATTGAAAAACCAATAGTGGGTAGACCTCGAGGCATCTAGAATTGAGGTCGACCCACTATCCTTTCAATCAAAGCCGATAGGAGCACGGCGTCATTCTGACGTCGCGCAACTCCTATGTGTGTCCCGCAACTCCAATGTGTGGACAGCGCCTGCAGCCGGCGCCGGCCACCCATAGGACACGGACACGAGTGTAATGTTAGAGTCCCGCTTGGGTTCGTGTTCTCGCTGATTGAACACGAATCCCAGGAGGACGCAGACGCCGCACAATATGGCCCCCGCTCACTTCCCTGACTAGAAGACTGAGCAGTACGGCATCACTAGCCAGGAGGTGGTACCCCCTTTCCCTCTTTAAAAAACAACACGATTCTCGTGTTTCACAGACACTTATTCCTGCCCGAAAGGTGAACAGACGCCCCAGTACTACCTGCGTTCATCTCAGTCCAACGCATTCATTAAAGGGGCCATGAAACGAATTTTGGGCGGGATGAATGATTTTATAGTCATACTTTACTAATCGCATATCGTTTAGTTGGCCAAAAGAAAGAGGGTAGAAAGTCAAAAGTCAGCTTTTCGGCACGAACATTTGAAAATATAGCGGACTATTTTTGTACCTTCTTTCCTTCGAAAGCTCTCCGCCTTTTCACTGTGATACATCCGCGGTTCCCAAAACGCGTCTGCGGTGCCAACCTGACTTCAGCCGAGCCCAGCTCACGCATTGGACACGAGAACTGCATCACTCGGACGTATGCGCTCGTCAACAATCAATCCGTCGACGAATATTTGGATTCGCGTTCGTGGCCAGTGAGTGCCCTGACGGAACTTATCGTCACTGGGGAATGACAAGTTCTATGGTGTGCATAAAAAGCACGGTGGAAGCTAGGAGTCATCGCACCGGTGCCGAAGAATGTCACGACGACGTGATTTCACAATTTGAATTTGAGTTGATGATTAAAGCTAAGGAGGAAGAAGTAGGAAAATCGTTTCATGGCCCCTTTAATACAGCAGATCCCCCGCACCCCTGTAGCTTTTGATACGTACATCAGCTGTTTAATGAGGTATATATCACCGTTCTCGAGCCTCCCGTAAAAGTTGGGGCCGTCTGTTCGACCCCAGTGCGCTGTACTTCTAACTAAGTTCTGGGGTGTCGTATATGCATGTGGCAAAGGGTGTAACAATATACCCTTTTTTTCTGAGAGCGCGGTCGCGGAACATCCGATCGTACATGTGGACGTATTTACCGTCTTCAAGGTCGATTTGTATGCGCAGATGGCTCCGGTGATGCTCCAAGCACTCTGCGTGGTCTCCAGGTTGTGAGGGACGCAGTATCGCGACTCAGTGCGCTCCAAACAGACGCCACCGAATATTCCTGCTTGAAGGCGCTGGCCCTCTTCAGGCCAGGTACGTGACAGACCGTGATACGAACAACGATTCAATGAAATGGCAGTTTTGAAATCGAGAGCTCACTCGTAGTCGTTTTTGTGACTCATAAGAGTTTTCAAAAAGACAGGTTCTTGGATCTATATTTTTGCCTCAAGGAAAGTGTCATTATTTTTCAGAGAACAATCTTAACTATAGTCGCACAAAACCAACAATAGCTGGCACAAAACCGCAAATAGACGCTCCGATGAGAAGGCACCGATAAATAATCGCGTGAGTAGCATTTCAGTCCGGCTGTTACCCGACGATTCCCTAACATTGGTCACTGCAAGAACTGTAGTGAATTTCTTGTTTTGAAGAATAATTGAGTTGCCTATTTATCTCGCGTCAAATAAAACATTAACACATTGCCGTTATGACTTCCTGGCTGTTACGCACACTATAAATAAATAAATAAATAAATAATTTTGTATAGCAAAACTAACCAGCAAAGTTATGCCGTTCTTATTCACGTTTTCATTTCCCTTTTCATGGCTACTGGAACGTTACTGCTATCGACGTATAAAAGCGCTTGATATATGGTCCCTTGTCGATTAGTCCCACGCAGACGCGTGGTAAAAGTAACGCAGAGAAAGATGGAAAAGCTCATTCGTAAGTCCATTTATTAGAGAGTTTGGTTTTAAAATATGGGACCCCGACACGTTTGCGTCCCCTGGGCAGATTAGGGAGTCGCAACGCGTATGCGTTGTGCGACGGCCAAACCTTCTCGGGGGAGCTAAAGCGCTGGGGTCCCTGTTTCTATGGTGCCTGGAACGCGTCTTCAACTCGTGTATCTACCCCCCAAAAAAGTGGTCCCTCCATCTTCGCCTGATGACGTCATACAAGTGTCACGCTGTCGCCGGCCGCGATCCTGGCGGCGTCCCAGCAAGCGGCAGCAGGCGTCTGCGTGGCAGACGCCTGTCCTGCTGCGGGTCGCTTTTCAGATTGTCAGTCCAGGGAAGCTTCGGCAGTCAGGAGTTGTGACTTTGTGACGACAGCAACAGTCACGTTCGCTCGCGGTTTTCGCCAGCATTTCTACAACATACTGCCAGGATCGTGACATCCGACAGCATGACACTCCGGCTATTGTGACGTCATTTCTTGCCAATTCGGGACCACAGGGGGATGATATGCCTCAACTGAACGGGAGACATGGCGCTGGTGCCAAGTGCGCGCGTTTCCTTTGATCCTGTTGGCGACCGAGCAGAGGTGGCCGGCCTCCGCGAGGCATCGCACGTGGAGCGGGTCCAGGAGCAGACCCTGACTGTGCTCCTGGAGCAACAGGAGCAGCAGCAGCAGAGGGCCCACCAGGACTCGGGCAGCGGCTGCCAGGGACACCAGAGGCTTGCCAGGCTGCTCCTCTTGCTCGGCTCGCTGCGCGCCGTTCCCGCCCAGCTGCTCGAGGAGGCCTTCTTCAGGTCCACCATAGGGCCCGTGCCCATCGAGCGCATCCTTTGCGACGTCCTCCAGACCCTCTGAGCGTGCGTGGACCCTCGCTCTCTTTTAGCCACAGGTGCAGAAGGGTCGCTGAAGAGGTCTGCATGTCGTCACCGAATCGATGTGGAGAAAAAGCGCCGTAATAGATAAGGACGGAACAAGTTGAACGAAGCCCGTACTCCCCTCGACAGTGTTAGCGGGAACAAGCCATCGCCGGTTTTCTTTGTTTCTCTCTCGGTATTGAAGGACTGTCATCAAAGCTAAAGGTGGAAAGGGTTCAGTCGTTGTACTAACCTAACGTGGAAAGGGTTCAGTTGGTGTACTAACCCAAATGGCAAGTTTTTATGACCGCCAATAAAGTAAAATGCAAAAATGCGCCCAAGTCGCGTTCGCGTTAACAGTGTCGCGCAGTGTACTTTTGACTTTCGGTGCGTTTTCTGCACATCGATATGAACCAACTGGCCCAACTATTCACTCTGCTGACGTCACTGAGTAGTCGTGTTTGAAGTTTACAGCGGCGAGAAAACATTTCAGTCACGCTGCCACGAGGCACCAGCACAGACCGATTGCATGTCTGTGATTAGTTGTCGAATATGTTCATGATTTTTTTTTCTATACAGTCTGCTAGCCCTCCAATTTTGGCAACTTAATTTAACGATGAACGCGCAGTCTGGATTTTAACGGTGAAACAGCGGTGACAATTCAACCGCGATCACTGTGACCTATACGCTCAATAAGGAAACGTACGCCGAAGCTTAATCGATGTCAAAGAGTTCGCTTCAGGTACGACGCAAATAAGATACTCCTGTTGTTCAAACTCTTGAAGCCTCTTCGGGACGTTTTCGTGAAACTGCAGACCTTCGGCGAGACAGAGAGAAACTACCTGCTACGTAGTGATCTTCAAGTTGACAGTCTAGCAGACGTACCCGCACCATCTTACCGATTGAGGCCAATCTCTTTTTTTTTATGGTAACTGCGAAGATTCCCGAGCGGTAATATATACTTTGAATATTACCAAATCCCTTCATGGCTACGGTACAGATTTCTAAAATCGATCTCTTTTTTTAACATTGGCATTTTTAAGTTAGCTTGCGTAGCGTGTAGCAGCTGCTGACCAGAACACACGAGTGCGTCAGTTGGCCTTGGGAAGGTAGATCAAAATGCTGAGCAGCGTATAACTAAGCACGTATATGCCGTACTCCAAAAAAAAACATGCATCGCAAAGCGGCAGCTTGTGCAGCGATACCCAGTGTAAGAAAAACAATTGTGTCAACATGTAAAGGTGAATACTGGAGCTTTCCAGACTAGAAGAGTATACTCATCAGACCTGACCTCGAGATTGTCGCAAGCATACATGGAAGTGGGACAGATTTCGATTTGATGGACTGCCGTGTATTCACACTTACACGTGACCCAAAGGCCGGAACCTACTTAAGTAATTCTCTAACAAAAACAGAAAAAAAATCTGGCCATTGCATGCAAACGTGCATGCTGCTTAAAGGGAAGCTGAAGAGGTTCTTGAAAAAAAACAAGTCAGAGCTGAATTCTAGAGTACTTTTATCCCGTGAATTTGAATGTCACGTTTGTTTTCCCCGAAGATGCACGAGAAAAAACGCGAGAAAACACGAAAAACCTCCGACCAGTCGTTACGTCAAACTAGGAGCTTTGGGCCGCCAAGCGCGTGTCGCTCGTATGCGCAGCATGTGCAATTGCAAGCTTGCCAGGTAGATTCCCCCTCAATTAGCACAAGTCGTGACGACTTTTTCTGACTTCCTCAAAAATAGCAAGAGTTCGCGTGCATAGCTTTGTTAGGGACTAAAGGTGCGCGAGAGCGGGGATTCCGAAAAGTCCATTTATGACGTAACGCTGTGGGAAGGAAGGGTTTCAGCGGTACATTGAAAATGATTTTCGGCAGCCTCCGTGCACCAGATTGAAAAATAATCTTAATATTTGTGACCCTGGAGGCCAAATGAAGGAGATTTAAAAGTGCCCTGAGGAGGTTTCTGAGATCGCCTAAATATGGCGACAACTCACTCTGCGGGCTCTAAGCATCCTAGAAATCCCTAGATAATGACGATACGCGGCCTATTTCCCTATTAAAAAAGCAATCCAAGATCGTAACACAGATTTCACCTCCGATGATGGGAGGAACATGTTCTGAAACCAGGACCACTGTCAGTCTATAGGGAGTTTTAGTAGACCGTGTTTTCCCTTCCGCTAGCCCTCCGTTTCGAAGAAACCGCCACTGCGCCTGCGTGCCGATGGCCTTGGCTATAGAGCTCCGGGTAGCGGAGGGGCTAAGCGGAGGGGGAAACACGGTCTACTAAAACTCGCTAATAGCAAGCGAAGGTTCCTCACGCCTCCGACCGGTGATACCGCGGAGTGATATCTCAAATGCGGACGGCTCGTTGCCCCTACAGCCCGGATTACGATTCAACCTTGCGAGAGCGCGCTCGAGCGCTCGAGGGCTTACGACCGGACATATCACTCCCGCCGAAGACAAAAACAACAACAACAACATAGTTTGGTGTTTTTGAAGCGATTATTGCAATATTATGTTCCCTCTGCGCAAAAATAAAAAATAAATTTTTGGGTTATTTTTACTTTCATTTATCATGTACAAACTGCACATTTTTTATTAACAGCCTTTGCAATCTCAACGAAATGTCGCGTTTTCAGTGGTCACATGCCGTCCTGGACCCCGACACAATGCTCTTCCCATCCTTGAAGATAATTTCGATCTTTGATTCCTTTCTTAATAGGGAAATCGGCCGTGCACCGTTACGATTTATGGATTTCTAGGATGCTTAGAGCCTGCAGAGTGAGTTATCGCCATAATGAGGCGATCTCAAAAAAATATTCTCGGGGCATCTTTAAGTGTTTTTACTCAAATACAGAACTGCTTCAGCTTAACACTCTCATTTGGTCAAATAGGGAATCATACTGAAAACGCAAAACAAATTATCCCAGGTGTTGACATATTCATTATAAACGTTTCGTGTGCATTTTGCAGGTTGCTCAAGCTCCAGGAACATCGAGTGCAATATCACCGAAGCCAGAGAATCGGAGAGGTCGTCGGCATCTTCTGCTGCCAGCGCTGGTACCTTCGTCTCTGTCGACCTTGCCATCAAGCACCGCTTGGGTCAGCAGGTGGTCATGAACGAAAATATAAACACGAACATAAATAGCAGGAGAGGATATTAGTAGAACAATTTAATCTATACTGTTCATGCCAGGCTCCTTGTAGACATCCCCATGGGCGTCGGCTCGTTATCTGTCACAATCAAGAACTCTTCAAGGTTTTGCGAACAGTGACGGCTAGTGTGCAAGACTGGTGTGAACCGCTTCGTGCCGGGACGCTCACAAAAAAAGAACTCGTTGCTCCTTCGAAGAAAACGTGCATCACAGTGGGACTGCGCTGAACTGCTGTAAGAGGAAGTAAGCCACAAAATACTTTACAACTCAGAGGCCATTGTCTTTGCTTTTTGCTTTCCTTTAAAGGCCTGTTCACACTCTTGCGACCGAGTAAAACCGAGAGAGGCCAGACCTGTTTTTAAGCCTCTTGCAATCTCTTAGGACCAGCTCCGCAGCAGCGTATCCGGTCCTAAGAGATTGCAAGAGGCTTAAAAACCGGTCTGGTCTCTCTCGGTCTTATTCGGTCGCAAGAGTGTGAACGGGCCTTAAGACAATTTCATTGGAACATTTTTTTTTTCTTTGTACTCTAATTCAGGGACTACGGACTCGATGACCAGAAGGTTGACAAGTCACGGGAGGTATCCATACAGCATAAGCGTGCATGCACCAAGCTCTGATGATTTTAGCTAGACTTGCTGATAAAATGAGGACGCGGCAGGGCGTCGCTTCCGAACGCCCGGTGCCTTCCGCTGTGCATTGGCTGCGCGCAAATTAAGGTTTCAAGCTCACCAGTCGCCGAGGCTTGACCGACGCTCTCGCACTCGATGCAGACAACTGAAGGACCTCTCTGCCGTTTTCATCCTATCAGTGACTACATGTTCAATGGCACTCCCGTTTATCCGAACACTTTCGTCCTCTCCCCAAATCGCACTGATTATGAATTGCTTCGTTAATCCATACTTTGTTTCATCGTAAGTACTAGCGAAATCAAGGCTACAAACTCGAGAATGTTGTCTCCAATGGCGTTCTCACTGCGCCTGCGCGCGTGCATAAAATGCACGTTCAAAACAAACTCAGTATTCACTGTTGACCATACCTGTGTGCGCAACTAATGAGTACGTGCTGACAGCGAGCTTCCACAGTTATTCTGCAATGTTCATTTCGCATCATCAAGATTGCAGGCCTTACAATCTATAAAAAAGCCACTGAAAAGAAGAAAAACAATTTGTTTTTGCACAGTTTGGTTGGGACAGGCGTGCCAAAAAAACTTTTACGCGAAAAAAACAAACAACATTTAGAGCAATATTAACGGCGCGAGATTTATTTTGGTTGCCTCTAAATTAAGGCTGGTTCACACGTCTGCGTTGGGTTGCGTTCGCATGCAACCGAAACTACCGTAACGACAAAGTCAACGGGTCAGGCGTTCGCCGTACATAGCAGAGCAAGCGACGCAAGGGGTAGCTTCGCGAAGCACACCATGGCCGTGTTCCAAAATTTAGTCGATCTTACCCCCGGGTAAGAAATTTGTACCTTGGCGTTTTAAAACTTACCCGCGTTCAGCGCTTTTCAATCTATGTTGCAACGTGACACGACCCGCCGGAGTAACTCAAATCCATTTGGGTAGGATTTGGAAGACAGTCCATGAGTCAATGTCCTTGCAATGTTCTGGTTGTTACGCTCGTTTCGGTTGCATGCCAACGGAACTATCGCAAATGTGTGAACCAGCCTTTATGCGCGCAAAGTCCACGACGTCACGGAATGGTCATACACCCTTTCCACCTTAACGAGATGGTCATACACTCTCCACCTCAACGCGATGGCTTTCACGTTGGCGGCATGCGCACTCTCGCGTCTGGGTGCGCCGACGCTCCTCGTACTCCCACTGCCCCTCTTCGGAACGTACAACA